TGAAACCTGTTTGGCAAGATCTGAGCTAGGAGTAGTAAAAATCTTCGATGATATTACAGAAAACCAGAATGGAGACCGAAGAACTTGACGAACAACCCTAAAGCAAGAAAGGTCTACCAACTTGGCTGCCAGAGTCACACTGAAAAAAAAAGTCTGATGCTACGGAATTCAGAACCAAGAGAAGTAAAACCAGAAAGCATTTAAAGCCTAGATATAACAATCTTTCTGGGCTAACTGGTTTGGTAGTTGGGAGAGATCGGTATAAAAGCCAGTTGGAAGTGAATATCAGAATCAAAATGAACCTTGTAAAGGGTGAGAAGTAGATTATGGTAGTGATGCAGAAGATCGCAAGTTTTAGTTCTCAGATTGGAGTATATGTTTCCAAAAAACTCAGATGATATATGTGTGGGACATAAACCGCTCTAGTAGGTTTATCACAAGGATAAAGTAGTCCTAAGAGACCTTAGCAGCAGAAATTCTTCTGGAGAAAGCATCTGACGATGCTAAGTCGATCAGAGGGTTTAAATAAAGAATCCACAAGCAGATCCTAGATATGGTAATTGGTGAGTAACTATAGATAAAAATAGATATAGCAGAGCTCTTAATTAGATAATAACTAAAGTTGTATATGTGACCAATTGTACTCTCGTTAATATAACAAAGTCAAGGAGTGCCTATTTGGCATCCTGATAATTGAACTGAGAAGTTAATAAACCGTGCCAGACCCTAAAGTAGTTATCTTAATATTTAAAAAAAAAAAATAATATATTAGTACTTTGTTTACTACTATAACTCTTTTTTTTATATAATAACTTTAAATAAAATTTTACAAACTTTTTTGTAATTGTTATACCAAATTACTTGTATAGTAGCACATGGCTACACTTAATTTTAATTAGTTAACTTTTAATAAAACTAAAAATTTTTAGATTTTTATTAATTTTTTTTAAAAAATTAAACAAATTTGAATTTTTAAAAAAAGCGTTATTTTATGATCGACCAATGATATTTGGTTATATGAATTACATGACTTTTCAAATCATGTAACATTTATAAAAAAAAATTCTAACTTTTATTTTTTTTATTTTATTTTATTTATTATTTATTAAAAAAAAAAAAAAACTTCGTTATACAACAAACATCATTGCATAACAAAGAACTAGAAAAAACTAAAACAATGACTTAAAACCTGCCACCTACCTGCTATATTTATTTAAAAAACCCTACCCACTCTCCTACTGTTTAAAGATAACACCAATACAATAAAAGATTTCATAGAAGATTTTGGCGAAGAATTCAAAGAAAATTCCAGTAGAGAGTCTAACGAACAATCAAACGAAACTTCCAACGAATACTCTAACGAAACTTCTAATAAAACTTCTAACAAAACTTCCAATGATGGCTTCAACGATAACTCTAGTGACAATTCAAGCAACAACTCTAGCGACGATTCTAGCGATGAATTCGGCGATGACTCCAGCAACAACAACTTCAAAACTACGATTCTGGTAACAATGAATTACATCTAGAGAGAATAATAAAAAGAATGTTAGTTCAAGGTAAGAGGAAAATAAAACTAAAAATAAATACAAAAAAATAACAAATAAAAGTGAAAGAAAGCAAGGATAAAAGAAAAAAAGATAAAGTGAAAGAAAGCAAGAATGAAAAAAAAAAGATAAAGTGAAAGAACAAAATAAAGTAGAAAATAAAATAAAAGAAAAAATGAAAAGAAAAGCAATAAGATAAATTAAAAAAAGAGAATAAAGGCTAAAAAAATAAAAAGACAAAAAAAAAAAAGATGAAAGAAACAAGGAAGACGAAAAGGAAAAACAAAAGAGAAAGAGAAGAACGAAAGAGAATAGAAAGAATGAAAAAGAATTGGAAAAACAAAAGATAAAGGAAAAACAAAAGAAAAAAGAAAAAACAAATGAAAGAGGGAAGAACGAAAGAAAAGAAGATGAAAAAAAGAAAATACAAAAAAAAGGGGAAGACAAAAAAAACAAAAAAAGAAAAGACGAAAGAAAAAAAGAATACAAGAAAAAAAGAGTGAATGAATAAAAAACATGAAATAAAACAGAAAAAGAAAAAAAGCCAAAAAGAAAAAAAACAAATGTAGTAAAGAAAAAGAAAGGGACAGAAAAGAAACTAACGAAGAAAAAAGAACAGAAAGAATAAGATAAAAAGAAAAGAATGAAAAAATGGAATGAATAAAAAAACAAATGAGAACGAAAGAAAAGTATAAAAGGTGAAGAAATGGGAAAAAGGGCAAGAAAAAAAACCAAGAAAAAAAGAACATAGTAATGAAAAGAAAAATACGAAAGAAAAAAGAAAGAAAAATTAAAATAAAGAAATAAGGTGAAGAATAAGAAGAATAGACGAAGAAAAAATAATGAAAACAAAAACAAACAAAAAGAAAAAGAACAGAAGAAAAAAAGAAAAAAAATAAAGGTAAGGAAAAAAAAATAAAAGAAAACAGAGAAAAAGCAAAGAAAAAAATCAAAAAAAAATAAATGAATAAAAAAAAAGCGAAGAAAAAAAAAATCAACAAAAAAAATCAAAAGATGTTAATTCTAATAAAGAAAAAAAAACAAACTAAAAAAATTAAAAGCGCATACTTTATCCCAGAGTTGAGCGAAAGTTAAAAAAAGATGAAACATAAGTGAAAGTTAAAAAAAGACGAAACATGAACAAAAGTTAAAAAAAGATGATAAGTTGAGTGAAAGTTAAAAAAAAAAGACAAAACAAATAAATACAAAAAAAACTGAAAGAATCAAAAAAAACAAAAATAAACAACAATATATATGATTACTGATCTTAAAATTGATTGGCT